TATATATATATATATATATATATATATATATATAATAAAGAGCCCAATGCAATTAGCCTGTAAGTATTCAGAAAATCCTCAAGCTACTCCCGCACAATTCGTGGCTTTAGGTCTTTTAGTCAACCTGTTCGAAATGTCCTTTAAAGGGAAGCATACATATATAATGCTGAAATTTGTGGAAACTTCAATCCGCCCTCTTGGCTCTGTTTACTACGTCAATTCGAGGCTATTTTCGTATATTTTGCTTTTAACAAAATTTGCCAAATTTACACTTCACTAACATGCACACACACACACACGAACGCACACACTCACACTCACGCGCGATAACAACAAGCATTTGAAAGCATAACAATAGGCAAGTGTGATTCACTTTTGGTTTTGGCCGTCTGCTGGGGTTTCAGTCGGAAAGTCAAAAAATAAATAAGGCAACATTCAATGCAAATTGGACTATTTACGCAAATTTTATTGCCAAGCACTTTTCTATTTATTTCCTTGTTGTGTGCTGTTATTTTTCTTTTCTTTTCTTTTCTTTTCTGACTGCTGCTAGTTTGCCCAACCGCCACATGTGGCCGAGTACACATAAATACATATTTATATATATGTATGTGTGGGCCTGTGCTGTGTGGGCATCCTTGGAGCATACTTTATTTGCTTGACGCTGAGCTAGGAAATCGTTAGCCCCCAGCGACTAGTAAATCAGGCAATTTGAAATGCGTTTCCTCGACTCTCATTTTGTTTCTTTTTTGCTTTTATTTTATATTTTTTTGTTGTTGTCTTTGTTGATGTCGTCGCCGTTGTTGTTTTTGTCGCTAACCCTTAGCTAACCTTTTGGGGTTACTCGTGGCTCGTCTGCTGCAAAAATTATGCGATTTGATGTCATTATTTCGTCGCCAAACGGCGCGCGCCTCACTGGGCAATTGGCAGAGTTTTATGCTCGCATTTCGGGCCCGATTACCTCGACTGCGCGGCCTCCACATAAAAAGCGTTTGCCTAACAAAATGTGTTCTTTATTGACAGACTCAACGAGTTGAAGCGTGGCCTGAGGCTCTGTCAAAAAGCTTCATCCCGTTTCGGTGGGGGCTTACCAATAAATTTGTTCTAGTGAAAATTTATTGACATTGGTTTTTAAACCGCGACGCGTGTTGCCAAACGATTTTATGGCCTCTGATGTGTCGCCCGCGACATTGAGCCCCGACAGAACTGACCTTTAAACATACAAAATGCTTGGCATCAGAAAGTCGATATCGCAAATTGAGCACATCAAATGCTACCAAGGCATACAATGAAGCCAATAGGCATTTAATGGTGAGAATAGAAATGAGCTCGAAACATGTTCTATCAGCCTGAAGCCATTCAATCAGCTCAACTTTATACCCAGGACAGGAATAAATTCTGGTTACGATAGATATGCTTGTACTATACACATTATGTATATTATTATATGTTGATCAATAATGAAATATACTTATGCACTAGATGCTCGATGAATCATTAAGTTTTGCTGCGTATAGATAATATACATGGAACATTTATTATATATTGTGTAATTGTGTTTTCATAATAAATAGGGTAACAATATAATTAAACAGAGCATTCGGGGATATAAAGATTCAACTTCAATATACTGAGACTACTCTAGATTCTTTTTCTCACCAGCGGTAAATCTTTTACCCTATCAATGATCTTCTCAGATTCTCTTCTTATTAAACTTGTGATGTCATCCTGATGAGATTGAGATCGAATAAGCTTTTTATGCAACTTTACATCGTTTATTTTATATTCAAAGCAAATAAATAAAATCAGTCGAGAAAGAAACCTAAGAAAATAATCAAAAAATTTTAAATAGAGTCATATGGGTGTAATCAATCTTCTGAAGAAACAAAACGATCAATTGGTGATTATTTTACTGAAGTAATTTTTAAAATGAGCAAATGGAAATTAAGTTGGATTAATATTAACCGATTAAAAGCAAATAAATTTGTTTTTTAAATTTTTTTTTAGCTTCATTTGAGCTGTGCCGCCTTTTCTATAATGCTCTTTGGTATATATTCTGGAAAATGGAAAAATCTAGTCTAATAAATAATAATAATTATTTTAATAATAAACAATTAAATATGTCGTCACATTTCCGATATGATTGTATGTCGAAAAATGCTCTAACGAGAAGCGCTTTTGTACTTTTGTTTTTGCATGTTAGCATACAAACGCTTAAATTGAATTTGATTTTTTTCCAAAATTATTGCGATTTGAGTTCTTATTTTTTTGGAAGTATGTAAGGCAGATGTTTTCTAAAACTAAACATATGATCATTTCGTGGGAATGCGGAGATATGATAGAATGATCCCATTACATATCTTTCACAGTTCGTTTATAATGAAAAACAAGTAAAAAGACTCTAGTTGACACTGCGTAATCATATGGTGAAAATGTATATACAAGTGTTTGAAATACGTTTTTTACAAATTTAGGGCGAACGGGGTGTGGTATCCAAAATCTGTAAATTACAAAATGTTTGTATTCATTATATGCATATACACAGTAAATCTGAAGTCTCCAGGTCTAATTGTATTCAAATGAGACTGGGTCAGAGTATAAAAATTACCAAATTAAATGACATCTGCATTGTCAATATGTGAAACACATTAACATACGGCACTTTGTGATCTATGCAATTTGGCATAATCTTATATTTCACCCGTTTCAGTGATTTGAATGCCCATATTTCGTAGCATATGCTAAAAAAAAAAAAAAAAGAGAGAGAGAGAGAGAGAGAGAGAGAGAGAAATGCAGTAACAATATACCCCGTAGGGCTCGATACCCACAGAAGCCACCGCTGATACACCAACAGCAGGAGCAGGCCGACATAATGAGTTACTTATGACACAAAGGAGACCGCGGATGTGCTGCAGAAGGACACTGTCAATGCTTATCGGCGCGTTATCTGCTTCTGGTCCTGCTGCTGCCTCTGAGGGCGTTGCATGTGCTCTGCAAACCGCGAAATGGAATCGAATCCATAGATCAAGCGCGCAGCGAGAGCAACAAAAAAAAAACCAGAAATGAGAGCAGAAGAACCGAGTGAATCAACTTGCATTGATAAATTAAAAGCAGCGCCCAAATGTTTGCCATTGCTTTGACATGTTTGACAACAATGCGACCGAGGCACGACAACTGTGCGGGGGTTGGGAGTGTAGGACGTGGAAAGCCG